GTACTCAGGTTCACTTACTATGAACTAAGAGGTTCACTTACTATGAATCCACTGCCCATCTTTAGACAAGGGGCCTAGGCCTGGGACAGACTGACAAATAAAGATAGAAAGCCAATTGGTTAATTCTGAATCCTTCTCAGAGCTGCTTCATAGTGGTCTCCATCATAAGACACCAAACAAAAGACCAAGCTTTGGAAAAAGGGAGGGTGGAGTTAAAGGATCCACAGGATGTGTGGTTGCAGGGGGGTTGGGCTGGTTGGTGTTTTGAAATTCCAATATCTTAAAAAATTAATTAAATTAAAGGCAGTTAATAGCAGTGGAAATGATCTAATATCAAGACTAACCTTCAAATACATAAAATTAACTCCAAAAAGTTCTGGAAACATTAAAATCTCCAGAACACTAAAATACAGGTTCAGATCAGAGGCCCCCATCCTACCCCAACACAGACATAAATTCCTCTTACTTAGGAAGAGATTGTTTCTCCAAGTCAAGTAGCATGGATACCAATGGGATGATAGATATTCTCTTTACCTTTTCCATCTCAACAAGGGGGAAATACTGGTAGCTCCATATTAGACGGATTTTTAGTTTTTACCACCAGCTAAAATCTTGACTTTGTAACAACAGTAGTGGTCATCGTAATCTTTACTAAAGATTGGAAAAGAACTTCAGATATATCCCAGGATTAAATGTAAATTATTCACAACTAAGGTTACATACATGTGTATATTCTTTTTCAATAATTATAACACTGTAAGGAATATTTCATTGTACTGGCATTTAATTTTATATTATGCATGTTTCAAAACTTTGGAAACATTATCATTCTTACTAGTCCAATATATCATGTTTTTATGTTAGTAGTGTATTATACTTATTAATTGTTAGCTTTTAATAAAATTCTTTCTCTGAAGGAAAAGAAACAGGTAAAATAATTTTCTATTCATAAAAATCAGCTCATATAAGACACAGAAGACAGGAGATCTGTGGTGTGCTGTTCAAGTGATAGGCTTTATTATCATTGTGGCTTTTTGCTCATCACCTTGAGCTGAGCTTGCATGATGGAGGAGTGAAGAGAGCCTCCAACCCCTAGTCATGACCTTCTTCCTGTCTCATGCTGTCTAAAGCTGACAATTTTATTGGAGCCTCCATGCTCAGTGCTCAGATTTTCTGATACTTATTCCCTTGCAGTGGCCTCTGTGGGGCTGTCAGCGTCTACTTTTTGTTTTAAAAAAAATGGTGGCATTTCTTAAGACAGTATGTTTCCTCATTATTTGCAGCTCTTGTTCAAGCCACACATTCTCTCAAAGCTTGCTTGCATCCTATTTCTCTGTCGCCTGTTACCTGCTATGTCTATAGCACCTAATTGCTCTTCTGTAATGTGTGCACTGAAAGGGGTGTCCTATTCCACCACTCACCCAACCCCTCCTCTCCCCACACACACACCCCTCATGAGATTTGCTTCCTGGTAAGGCCGAGTGAAAAGAGAGATGTTCATTTTGACCACCAATTTCCTCCCAGGTTTTACAAAACCTTCAAGTCATTTCTTTCCTGGGATTTGAAATCTACTTCTCTTTATAGTTGAAATGCTTCCAATAAATATATACTCCTTATTCTTGGAAACAGATTAAGTCATTCCAGTGGATCAGTGAGAACCACGATTGTGCCAAGTACATTATACACCCATGCAGAGGCCAGCCACCTCTCACTAACATTGCACAGAACTCTTGAAAACTTTTGTCTCTGGCTATGGAAAAAAGGATGTCATCTCTTTAGATAGTGCATGCTTCTCTATTAAGTGATAACCAGTTTTCAGTGCCAAACATCCAGGTTGAACGTGTGGGCTTTTGATCTAGAAATCCAGAAGATATGTTCCAGAATTCTCATTTTGTGAAGAGTCTGGGGCTTGAGGAAGAATATGGGATTACACATCTTTTACTCTGTCTGCCTTTGGGGGCCCTCTATCAGCTCTCCCAGATTCCTGCATGTTACAGGCTAAGCCAGTCACCCCTAGACCAGGCTTCTGGATAGAGCTGCCTCCTGTGTGCCCTGCAGGCTTGAGGAATGCATGTGTCCATAACTTTTCTCCATTCTAAGATATTTATATCTGTTTCAACTCTGAGCTCTCCATTACTACCTACGCCTAAGCCACAGTTGGAAGTAACTTTTGGCAACCTGATTTTCAACTTCAGTTCAGTTTCCCCAAATGCCTGATGTACATTAACTGATACCACACATGACATTCATCTATTTTGGAACAATGATTTGAATTGAAAGCTCTCACCTCCAACATAAACAACTGTAGAATATGTTTCCATGTAAGTCTTCTGAGAAATTATCTGATTTTGCAGCAGAGACCATTGATTTAAAATAACAGTGGTGTGAGACAGAACCAATCAACAGACTCTCTTGACATGAGTTAAACATCTTACTCCCTAAAACAGAATTATGTATGGTGTGGAAATGTGTTGGAGCAAAATTATTCCTGAATGTAACAATGACAATGCAATTTCCTGGATTTACGATAGGCACTTTGGGAATTGTGTAAGTGCCTAAAAGAGTTAATGTTCCTCCCAAAGTGCTTTATTTTAATGTTTAGGATGTTTATAACCTAATGTACTGTACTGCTTTATAGAAATATTGCATTATTCCAAGATTCTACCCTTAAGAAAATATTTGTCTTGCAGGATGAAGATACTTTCTCGACAAAAATATTAAACATAGAAAGTTCAGAGCTTCCCAAATCTAATCAATTTTTAAAATCTGCAATTCTCACACTAGCACAATAATAAAAATAATATATGGAAGTATCCACCACCATGCTGGCCAAAGAGCCATTTCAGTGATTGATTAAACAAGCATAGACTGCATTTTTCTTTCACCTAAGCTGCCTTCTCTGCCACTTGCCACCTTTCTATACAGTGTCACTACCAATCCACCATCAACATGGAAGAAAACTAGACAATGAGATGACAACTCCTTCAGGAAAAGGATTAGGATCAAAATGGAACAAAATGGAGCCTTAACTAAGAAGCAGCACATCTATGCAAGGGTATTTAGACATTGGAAGGAAAAGTTAGATGGGAATGGTCAGGAGGGAATAAAAGATCATCATAGTATTTTGGAGAAAAGATCTTGAGAGAGCAGAGACATCCTCTGTTGGATATGCTAAACAGGACTCTTGATACCTTTTTCTGAATGAAAAGATGTTACTTTTCCAAAAGAATGGAAAATAGATCTGTGTTTAAATGAGGCTCAAAATCTCTTCCTGACCGGCTCCCCATAAATCATCTGCTACATCAGCGGCCCAACTTTTGAAGCCCAAGGCATGTTAGGGGAGCAACACACCTCCCTCCCCCTGGGGGATGATAAATACAGTCTATTATCAACCAGCGACCGTGGTTCCAAATCCAAGGCCCTAGAAGCTGGAACCTGTACTAAGCAACTAGGCACAGAGCAGGATCCAAGCTCAGTTGTTCCTTGAAAAGTTTGACTCCAGCTCTGCTGACTTCTTGCAACTGCCAACTTGAAATAGAAACCCCCTGAGAGCATGTTTTCTTACAAAATTTACAAAGAGCTTTGCTGTGAGCCAACAGCTGGAAATACCTTGTGAGCAGTCTCACTTGGAGATCTGATTCCTTACAGTACTTTGGCACCTCTGGCCGGCTCCTGGCGAGTAACCAGAAGCTAGTGAGGTAATAAAATGTGGTCTTCTCCCAGGACAGCTCCAGGCCAGGCTTTTCCGGGAGAGGAGATGAATAATGCCAGGGCAAAGGCTGGACCTTGCATTAGCTGCTCTTGGTAGAAGAAACTCAAGGGATTTCTCTGTGCGCCCACACGGTGCCTTTCCCTGGGCGATAACGGGCACCAGACAACTTCCTCTTTGCAGGAACAGTCACTGGAACTGGGTTCCTGGTTCACTCTGGCCCTGACTGGATTGAGGAACACAAGGAATTATAGAGGCAGATTCTGTAAACTCAAAGTATAATCTGCTGGCTTTAATCCTAATGTGATCCGTAAGGAGTTCCATTTATTTCCTAACCATTTCTAAAATAACTAGAAATAATTATGCCAGCTAAATTTCAGTACCAATGGTTTTTATTGTGTTCACATTTCCCTTATTCTTGCTTAATTTAGGCTACTCTTCTTTCTTCACCATGTCCACTCCATAGAAGGAATAAAATACTAAAAACCAAGATCTATGAACTGGGAAGGAGCTGCGCGGTTCCCAGTATTCTGGGTGTATCTGGAAGGACAGATTTGAATTTGTATCTTTCAGGAGGCTGTCAAAGGGAAGGGCATTTATAGCACTAATATGCTTGGAAAGAGAACTATCTGACCTCCCTGGTCCAGTGCATTACCTTACTGATAAAACTGCAAACTGATTCATCCACTTCTCAGTTATTTCCCTGGTTAGGAAAATTACCATCTATAGAAGTTTAGATTACTAAGAAGAATGATCAGTCTTGAGTTTTCTGATAGAGAATCTGTACCTCTTCACTACAGAACCCAGATAGGAGGCAGAGGGACTGACTGTGCTTTCTTAAAGACCAAGGTCCTGGCCAGCCCACCCATCTGCAAGAAAAGTATGAAAACTGCTTCGCGCATAGACAAAGCAACTTTGGCCACAAGAAGGCTGGCATGTGGCCCACTGAAGGCCTCTGGGATAGAAGCTTGTCACATAAAATATAGGAAGTCCTCTTGATTCAAATTTCAGGTAAACAAGGAATTGTTACTAGTATGAGTATATTATTACAGGCACTATTCAGGACATACTTACATTAAGAAAGTTACTTATTCATCTAAAATCTAATTGAACTAGGTGTTCTATATTTTTATTTGCTATATCTAGCAATCCTAACATGAGGTATCTGCTGATAGGAAAGCTATCAAGTTTATTCACATTCATGCACAAAACAGCCAAGCTAAACTGGGGACCGACGTAAATCCCCAGGATTGAACAGAATCTCAGGAAGGCATAGCAAAATTTTACCTACATTTCATCCTTTTTCCATCATAACTCCAAGGACTACAGTGAACTTCTCTATGACTTGGAAATGGCTTTCTCAGGAAATTAAGCCGGATGCCAGAAACCTGCAAAAGAAAATACGTCCAATTTGCAAAGAATAAGTCAGATTTTAGGTAAGGAAATGTAATTAGGCAAAAGCAGGACGCTGAGAATCACCTCTTTTTGGAAAGTCTAGGGGAAAGTAAATGTCTCCAGCAGAGAAAAGAGAGTTAGAGAGAATATGAGAAAGAGAAAAACAGATAAACAGACAGCAGACAGACAGACAGACAGACAGACAGACAGACATTCAGCCTTCCTGGAACCACTGTCTTTGATCCCTAATCTTCACTGGGGTTAAGAAACACTGTTCAGACAGGCATTGAAAAACAAGGCCTATGCCACTTCCTTGTGGGGCTTTTAAAATGCTTTATGATGATTATGATGATTTGTGTATTACGCGCACAATGTTGTCATAAATTTCAAGAAGTTCAGAAAAGGAAAAAGAAGAAAATAAAAATTATTCATAATCCTGAGATTGAAAGAACACCTCTATATTTCCTTCCGTCCTTTATCTAGGCATCTGCAATTTTTATGGCATCAGAATTAAAGCTTACACTATTTTGTAACCCACTTTTTATCACTTAATATATTGTGAATATTCTTGCATATGCTTGTATAGTTTCTGAGAACATGGTTTTTAATGACTACTTAGTATTCCATTGCTTTTAATGGGCCACAATTTATTTAACCCCTTTACTCTCATTGAGTTTTTATGCCCTTTCCCATTTCTCACTGCTGTAGAGAGCACCACACAGGCCCCTGTACAGACAACTCCGTGCAGCCTTCGTTGTATGTGTGAGACAAATACCTGCTGTTGAAACTACAGGGTCACATGGCTAAATAATGTTAAGATTTTAATTCATATTATCAATTTTTTGTCCAGAAAATCTTACACACAAAATTCAAGAGTCGTTGTTTTCCTTACCAACCTTACCAACACTGAGCATTACCTCTTCAATGGTCTTTCCTAATTTGATCAGCCACCATTACTTCTCATTAATGACATCATACTGCCTTCATTCGTAACTGTGTGAACATTTCTTCAAACGTTTACTGAACATTTGTAGGTGTTACTCAGTGAATGTCTTTACAAAGTTTAAGGCATTTTTTTTCCTAAATACATAGTGAATTATACAAGGGATTTTATACACTAACAATAATAAACCTTGATGTAGCAACAGGCTATAATGTCATCCCATTTATCAGCTAAGATTCTTGAGGGTGTGACATAGTGTCAGGAATTTTCAAATATTTATATAGACTAATCTTAATAATTTTCCTGTGGTTTCTTTCTTCCTACCTAGAAAGCAGAAATATGTGCAACCCTGTTCTCTATGTTCTTCCTGTCCTCTAACACCCACCTCATTGATCTACTGAAAGGACTTGTCATCTGGGAATGACAAAGGGTTCTTTATCAAATCATCAACCTGCTAGCTCAATTTCATTTGCTAAATAATCTACATTCTCTCTGTCTTTTATTCTGTGTTTGCTAAGCAGGGGTGTCATCTTATGGCATGCATCCTCTCTTTCCTCCCTCTCATCCACCTGTTGACATTCCTACCCATACCCCAACCTGTCTCCCCCTTAATCATTATCTACTTTTCTCCCTCTCTATGAGAATTAAAAATTTTGACTATTCTAGGATGTTAGAGTTTTCCCTCCATTTCCATTCTGATTGAAACTGTCCTAAAAACTAAGTTGATTAGCCCTTCTGCTCCCATTGAGTGTATCAACTCCCTGCACACCGTTCAGAATCAAGAGCCATGTCTTTATTCAAGACTCCTTTAACAGATCTCCAGACTACACGTGCTTCACATTGATGTCAGGTGCTCAGGACTAGCTTAACTTGGAGGATATAGTGTGTTACACTGAGCTTGTGGCTTGGAAATCTTGTCCTTTTTTCATGTTCCGACCAATTATTATTGGAATATAGGAAAATCATTGGTTTATACATTCTACCGCCAAAAGAAATTCTGCAAGCAACTTTCTTTAGACTATTCATTTAGAACTAGACATGCAGTCATACCATATGCATATTTTTATTTTTTCTCTAATCTTATTTCCACATCCTGTGGGAACATTCAAAGCAGTAGTTCTAATAATGGTGATCACTACCTCCTCACCTGTGGGGCTTCACCTGAAGAACCTTTTGAGGCTTTTCACTAAATGGACTGTAGTTCTGATTTCATTTTTTTTTTTTTTGGCTTTTTTAATGTCAAAGAACCCTTTTCTTATTCCTGGCTTATTAAGTTTTTATCAGAAATTGATGTAGAATTTTATCAGGTGCCCTCTGGGACGTCATTGAGGTCTCTCCTCTTTTAATCTACTGATGTGATATATTTTATTAATAGATTTCTGAATATTAAAACATTATTGTATTCCTAGAATGGATCTATATGGCATATGAAACTGTTGTTTGCAGTGTGATATATATTATTTAGGACTTTTTGTTCTTTGATTCAATGACTACAGACTTCATCTCACCGGGAGCCATCCCAGTCACTGCCCAAGCTTTGTCTTTTGGTGAGTTGGATGTGGAGTTTCCCTCACTTTTCAGGTTTTAGATTCAATCCTCAGCTAGCTCTGTAAAATACACAGGAAACACTATTTCCCTATGGTATTGAGTCTTTCAAATAGCAAGAAGATCACTTGTTCTGACAAGATGGAAATTCCTCTCTCCCAATTCTAAAATTATTCTAGAAAATGACCACAATAGTGAATAAAACAGAGAGACTAACACAAGAAATTATTTGAAAGTATTACAATGCTATAACAATTAAACTTTAAGAACTTTTTATAAGAACTGTGGGAGCAATGGAACCCAAAATGTGTGACTGTTCATGTAAAAAAGAAAGGAAAGAAAGTGATCTAAAGGACATAACTGCAAGTATAATTAAGTATGTAGTATAGAAAACCATATTACTGAGTATTTGTTGGATCATTGAACAGAACCATCTGCAGTCTCACTGTATTAATGTTCACTTTGTATGCTTTAATTTTGTAACCTGGACAACTGTTTCTGAGATGACAATATGTAATCTATTAACTAGTGAATTCTTACTGTATATTTTTTCTCTTGAAATTCTGTATTACTTGTAGGCTTTTACTGTTTTGTTTTGTTTTGGTTTGGTTTTCTCTTTAAAAAAAACAAAATAACAAAAAACTTTAAGAACTTTTGAAATTTCTCTCCATGGTTATTAACCTGTATGTATTTGCTTCTTTTTAAGTTAGACATGAAAATTCATATTTTCTTCAGAAAAATCTATTTTGTTGTGAGTTTTTACCACTGAGTTACGTATAATATTTCTTAATAGTTTTTATTACAATCAGGTTAATGATAACATCTTCTTTTCCATTTTCCTCAACTATGTTCATTAATTCATTTCACATATATATATTTTCCCATTTTTATGCCTAACTCTGATTTATTGATGTTAATCTTTGTGTATATGTTTATTTCTATAGTTCTTAAATTTATGAAGCTTACTATTTTTCTGTGTTCTGATTCATAAATATCTCTGTTATTATCTTTACAATTTTCTTTTTTAAACATCCTTAAACTTAATATTCTAGGAGTGTAAAATCATTAAATTGGGTAAATATTAGAAATATTTTATTGCTATTTATTCTTGCTTAAAATGGACATATTTAATAGGATGTATTGGAACCCTGAAATGATTTTGGGCTTCCTCTCTTAATTTTTGAAACGATCTTATTTTTTTAAGTATTTGATAATTAGACATCTGGTTCTCTCTCTCTAATATTCACTGGGTAAACATTATCTTAATATTTTAAGTGTACTTCAGTTTTTGTTACATCTTTGTTATTAAAGTACACATCTGTTTTGTTGTAGCTGTAAATATATTTGTACAATTTGTTCCTAAGGAGAATTATATTTTTTCTCACTTTTTAGTCATCAGTTTCCACAAATATATCATATTCATTATTCTCTTTCTTTGGATGACACCGAAGTCACTAAACCTCAATAAATACTGAATAAGCACTATTTATGTGAAGCCCAATTTTTATCTACTAATTTTGGCCAGCTTCTCCCTATACTTCTGTATATACTAAAGTCACTCATGTTAATCATGACTTTGTCAATTTCTTCTTGTATTTGTATTTTTACTTTATATATTCTAATAGTTATAGACTACATAGAGGGATTATTATTCATGTATATTTGTGGTGAATTCTTCTTTCCGTAAATTCCAGAATGAACCACTTGAAACTGCTCAAACACTAGTTGATAGTAAGATTGCTTCCACTGTTCAAGTTTTGTCCTTCTGTCTCACCCATAATATTTCAAACTTTCCATGTCCTTTTATTTTAGATACATCTCTAACCAATATTTTTATTTAAAAATCAAAAAAGAATAAAAACAATGACAAAGAATGTCAAAACAAAATAATAGATTAATAGTGGTTGATATATTGCATATTGTTATCTTCAAAGTACTTGCTCAGATTACAAGATATGGGCATGAAAAAAATGATCAAACAATGAAAATACAAACCATTCTTTTTGATGACTAAAGATTAATAGTGTAATTATTTATCATATATATGACGTATATGATACCATATACATATCATATATACAATATACGTAATCTTTTCCCTTCTATCTTTTCTCTTTTCCCCCATCCCAGTTGTTTTTACCTTTTGAATAGTTTCTTCCCCTTTCTCTTTCACAATCAAACGACTTACATGACAACTTCCAGTCTTGATTGAAGAGCAGGGTCAAATTAAAATCTATTGGGAATGACCCTGCCCTCCAGTCAAGACTGCAAGACTGTTGCGTAAGTAGTTTGATATATTCACATGCAGTCCTGGACTTATTTCCATTGGGCCTCATTTTTAAAATGTTTCTTTATTGCTTTTCTTTTGCAAAAATTTTTTTAGATTTTTTTTCTTTAATGATTCACAATGAGTAAATCTTATTTTTATCTCATGCATGGTTATTCTTATATTCCTTTTTTTCAAAATCTTGTATTTTTTCCTAGGTACCATTAACATAGAGATAG